ACTGATATCAGTGGAGGATGACAGTTTAAGTTTCTAATATTAGTCTCACTAGAAACACAAATGGGAAAAAGTTTGATTATCGGAAATTCACAGCTTGAAAAAAATGTGGGCAGGTAGGCTCCGTACATCAGATTGCATCGTGCTTTCACTGAGAACAATATTTTTTCTGACGTTTAGAGATGGTATGTAACTCCATATTCGCGGCAGGAATCAGAAACTGAATCATCATTGACGATGCGACCTTTTGATTTTTGTCGGAATCTTATCACTCATCAATGTTTGATTGCATGAACGTTGAATTGAATGAATCGCAAATCATTGAAACAAAAGATATCTACACGATTCAGAATGAAAAAGATCAGTGAGTACATCTGTAGAGCCATTTACAAGTGGACTCACTGAAATGCACTGGGCTGAAAATTAAAATAAAATCGATTATAAACGTCTGCGTTCGACTTGATATTTGCTATAATAAACTCACTCTAATGATTGTTGGGATTGAAAATTCGCAAAGCTTTCTGCTGCTCGAAAAGCAAAGAAGAATGCAAACATACAGAAGTTTTCTTGGAAATAAGTGAAATGACCATATCTGATTGATGTGAAAAAGTGATTGCAGAATTTCTAGTACATGCGCATTTTCTCATTCAGGATGAGTTCGGTGAGATTTGCAAGGATTGTTATGAGAAGTTCACAAAAAATTTACAACAATCTCAACAACAGATCATAGCTAGTACTAGAAGTTTCCAAGGTTGTCTAAGATGCATTAATCGCTTGCTCAGGATGACGAAATTCTCTTGATGTTTTTGACATTAGTAATTGTCAAAAATGTTTCTTCAAAGCCCCTGAAAGTTTTGTCTGCAATGAATTCATTCACTGTAAACAAGCAGAAGTAAAGAATGGTATTTAAGGAGCAGCATTTCGTTTGCAGGCATCCAGCCATCATCGGTCAATTAAAAATTCCTTTCTTTACTTTTTTGGAACCTTTTGATCCTAACGCAAATTTACAGATGATTGCCATCTTCGCAGTACTTGCTGTTCTTGGAGCAGCTGTAGCCCATTACTTACCGGTCTATCCACCGTTGAGACATAATGGGTTAGTTAACTTCGATATTTATCTGAAATTTTCATATCGAAAATATTTCCAGCGAGCTCGTGGCGAACGTGAAAGGTGGGCGTAATCACGGACCATTTTTGGACGTCTTCCATGGGCATCGCCGCAGATACCTTCCACCTGGTAAAATCCTTTGATGCAATTTCTAAACTAAATGATTTCAAATAATCTTAAAAGTTTTAGGCTATTACGGCTGGCCGTACGGTCTTCCGCCAAACATCGTTTCAAACCCATTCTACGTAGAGCGTCGCCACAGAAGACGTCATCATCGCGATAGCTACAGTCGCAGTCGCAGTGACAGTCGCGATCGCGATTACGACAGAAGAGATAGAAGAAGGCGTGACAGCAGCGACAGCCGTGATTGGTGATTTGGAATTTTGAGCAAATAAAAGTCTGAAGATTCAGCGCTTATCTATCCACACTTATGTAAAACACCTCTGGACCTGAAGCATTGCACACTGAACCCACACCACCACCAATATGAACCTTTATATGCTATGATACAGCCTTAGTCATGAGCATTCTCGTAGACTGGTGAGCAAATGTAGAATACAAAATCAATTTGGACACATTCTATTAGTGTCCCAAAATTTTTTAACGTTTTACTTTTGTCCACAATAACTGATTCTTTTGTAGCACAAAAACTTTGCTCAA